ACACTAGGTTTACATTCACTGTCGAGCTGAATCTTGTGAGTACAGATGCCAAGAAGAATTCCTACTATATCGGCTATTGTCCATCCAATAGCTTTTATATGCTTCCACAGTACTTCAATGAGCAATTTCACCTATTTTTCAAGAAGGTTGACGGCGATAGATACCGGCAAAGTATTATTGGCTCCTAAGAAGGCATATTTGAGATGAGAGGGTAGGGCTTTTAACTCCAGATTTGGTGGTTCTTCTGTCGATGGGTTTGCAGGTAGACTTCCTCTGTTTTTCAAGTCAATATCCAACTTGATTGGATTCCTTGAAACTTCTCTTATTCCTGATAAAGCAGCTACCACTTCCTCGTAACCATGAACTTCGGAATCATCATAATTGGCAAGTACAGATTCAAGGGGTTCATCCTTGCGCATTAAATGACTCACACTTGCCACTGCCTCATCTATCACATCCTCAGTAGACACCACATGGATATTAGTTTGTTGCTTCATGAATTTACAGATATTGAAGGTCACCTCATCATTGTTCACACGGAACTTCAATTTCCCGCTTTCAACATCCACCAATGTTCTTCCGGTAGCTAAGAATGGCCTTCCCAAAATAATGGGGATTTTAGCATTGATTTCACAATCTAGAATCACAAAATCAGCCGAAAATATGAACCTATCCACTTTTACCAATATGTCATAGAGTATCCCCACTGGGTGCTTGATTGATCGATCATCCATAAGGAGTCTCATTGTGGTTGCCTTTGGTTCACCCAAACCAAGTTGTTTGTATATTGCATAGGGCATCAAGTTGATGCTTGCTCCTAAATCGCACAAGGCATTAGAGAATTGGAGCATGCCAATTGTGCAAGGGATAGTGAATGCCCCAGGATCTTCTCTCTTAGTGATTGAATCATTTGTCATAATTGCACTGCAACTATGGGGCACCTCAATCGTTTCATAGTCCAAGCTGCTTTTCCTTGTAACAAGTTCTTTCATGAATTTAGCATATCCCGGCATTTCCAACAATGCTTCTACCAGAGGAATGTTAATTGATAAGCTCTTGCATACTGACAATTTTTTTTTTGAACTTCTCATCTTCATTTTTCTTTTTCAAACGTTGGGGAAATGGTGGAGGTATCTTGGGTAAAGGGTGCATGACTTTTGGAACTTGAACTTGTTGCTTTTCTTCCTCATGTGGTTCTTTAGTAAGGCTTTGTCGAATAGGTGAATCTTGTTCCTCCACATCTTGGCTCTCTTCATGTTTTTGAGGATCCTCATCTTCCATCATATCTAGTCATGCTTGAGAATTCCCAATTCATAATTAGATAAGAAGAATTCATGAACTTACAAGTTGAATAGATGAAAACACAAATCTTAAATTGAAATTCTAAGTGAAAATTATATCAAACTAATTCCAAAAATCAAATTGCTATAGTGTGCAGGCTAATTCCGAAAACACCAAAAACTAAGATTTTACAATAATGTCTAACCTCTAAAAATGAGGTTTATAACTCCTATTTATATAAAACAACTCCCAAATAAAATAGGAAACAAAATAAGGAAATAACTGGCAGGACGCAGTTCCAAACGACGCTTCAACCTACGAACTGTGGGTCGACCTATGGTCCGTAGGTCCCCTTCCTGGATCAACACTTAGAAACTTTCATGAGGTACTGGAAACATCAACTCTCAGATCATCAATGACAGACGTGCAGGACGGAGCGTGGGTCGACCTACGGTCCATTGTCTTGCTTTGTTGTTCCATACTTGTCAGACTTCCCTGATGTTCTACCGACGATGCCTAACACACGGTCCATGGACTGGACTACGGTCCGTCCTGGCACAACATTTTTTGAGTTACGGGAACTCAACTTCCAGGCCAAGACTTACGATTTCCCATCCATGGCCCGTGGTTGGACCTACGGTACGTGAGTGGTCACTTCTGCATCTTTTCAGCTCGCATCTTCATCAACCACATCCAAGCCTATTTCATACAAACATTATATACAACATATCAGTTCTAATCCAAAATAGCTAAATACACACACAAATTCTAAGTGATAGGCATCAAAAATATCGTAAAATCACGGTATATCAACACCCTCAACTTAAACTTGTTGTTTGTCCTCAAGCGACACAGTAAACTCTAAATGACTCTTATGTAGAAGTAGACACTACTAGAAATTAGGCCTACGGCAACAGATTTTTTAGCAACGCTAAAGAAACCGTTACTATAGAGGGTCTATTGCAACGGTTTGAGCCGTTGCCAAAAGGATTGGATATTATTGATACGGCTAAGTAAAAAATTTGTTGCCATTGTTTGAAAACAGTTGCAATAGACCTACATATTGCAACGGTTATGGTAATCGTTGCCATAAAGTCATCTATGGCAACATTTAATGCGAATATTTTCTATTGGAACGGTTATTAAATCCCTCCATAATTTCCCTCTCTTATTTTGGCTGAATCCGCCAAAAGCTTTTCATTTTATTTTATTTTTAATTAATTTTGTAAATACAATTTACTTTTCTCTTTATCAGATATCGATACAAACAAGGCAAACATTTGCTAAGTTCATTTCCCTTCTCTTCAACAAGCAGAACACAGAAAAGTTGTCACTCTTCTTCTCTTTGACCCAATTTTTCATCCATTTGTGGAGCTTAGCAGAAGCAGAACACAAAGCAGATCGATGGAACACATAAGTTGTGGAGCTTTGCAGGGATATTAATCTTATGGTAAGTTCTTCATGTCTGTCATTTTAGGGCAAACATAAACCCAATTTTTTCTTCGAAGCTAAACCCATTTCTCTCTTCATACTTCTTGTGAAATCTAATGAAATGGAGGGTTGTATGTTTTCTTGTAAAATCTAAGGAAATGGAGATGTTCTTCTTCAACTGCTGGAGGGTCTCTTCTTCAATATTTGGTTATAGCTGAAGAAACTACAAGTTTGAGCTTTTGTAGGTTTTCTTCTTGAATCTCTTCTTTTGTCTTTAATCTTTGGGTGTGGTTAGTGTATTTGATGTATTTCTCTGATTGTGGGTTTTTTTCCCATTAAGTTGTAGCTATTGTGGGTTTAATGTTTTGTTAGAGTTATGGTGAAATTGACTGCTCTAGACCATATTTAATTTGACATTGATGTTGTATTTCTTGTCCATGAGTTATTCAATTGGGTTTGAATACCCTGTATTGATGATGTCTTTATTGATTTCACCTCTCACTTGAGTAGGATGTCAAAAATTCACTTTCATTATTGTTGAAGATTTACATTAGAGCAACAGGAAACAAGAGATAAATTGACATGAAAATGGAATAAACTAAAATTTGCTACTGATTGGTACTAAAATTTGCTGCTGGTTCAAAAAGTGATCGTCTCTGCTAATCATCACCATCCAGAGCACTGCACCATCTACTCCAGTCAGCACTTCCTGCCTCCGACTGAGTCTGCCATGGTCGCTTGAGCTATAGCCATGGCTGTAACTTGTAAGTGTTCCCTTTTTTTTTTTTTGCATTTCTCCGTTGGATTCTTTCCGGTTTAATGATGTATATAAGCTGTTGTGAAGTTCCATGGGTGGATAATTTCTTGGATATCATCATCATACTTCTGGATTTTCCTCTTTTCTCCTTTACTGTATTTCTTCTAATTGTTGAAGTACCTCTTCTTTTTTGCTCCATTAAATTATCAAAAGTGCTATTGTTTTGACATTATTTTAGGTCTATTTCCTGTTATAATAGAATGTAGCATGTGTTGTGACTTTTCTATAGTTGATCTTTTGTTGATTTCTTCTTGAAATGAACTTGTATCTGCTCATGAATTATAAAATAATTATTCACCTGATTATCTTGCTCTTGATTCTCAAATTTGGTACTTCCAGTTTGTCCAAATTGAGAACTTTCCTCCCCTGTGATGGTAACTCTCGAAATGTATTATATAGTTGTCGTCCTTCCACCTCAAATGCATGATTAGCTAGATAGTAAGCTAATGAAGTCCCTTCCCTATATATGTGCTCAATGTTAATTGT